TAAAATGACTTGGAATTTAATTTGTTTGCTTTGATTTGGTTCACGAGAATCATTTGAAGATAATGATTCTTTTTTAAAAAAAAAATATAGTGTTTTCTCGTTTTTTATAAAACAAATAAAATTATTTATTCTTGAAATTATATTTATTTTATCTATTATTCTTATATTAATTTTATTTAAATTTCATTTTTGTTTTATTTAAAATTTTTTGAATTTTCTTATTTTGGGATTTTTTTATAATTTCTTTTAAGTTTTTCTTATTTTTAATATTTTGTTAATAAAATATTTTTTTAATAAAATATTTTGCGATTTTGCGATTTTTTAATGTTTATGATTTTCTGATTTTTTGAATTTTTTCTGATTTTTTTCAAATTTTAATGATTTTTTAATGATTTTTTAATGAATTTTTATATTTTTTGTATTTTTATATTTATTTTTTCGTAAATTTTTTTTAAAAAAAAAAAAAACCGACACATCATCACTTTTGAACAGTACCGGTCACATTTTTAACTTGATGTACAAGTAAGCCAGATTGGAGGTTTAATATGCTAAATTTGTCAACTTGAGTGTTTAAAGTGCTTGTAAAATACTCTCAGGTTTAAAGTGTAAGTGGTTGCCACCTTGAAGGTTTTTTATGCGATTTTCTCGCCGAAAATGTGATAATCATTTCTCTGTTTCAGGATCTATCTTCTTCAGGATTTTTTTTGGCCAAATCATTGGTAGGCTCTACATATCTCATTGCACATACTTTTCGTGTGATCTTTTTATTATGATTTATTTTCACTTTATCAACAAAATCTAAATCTTTAATTGAAGATCTTATTCTTGTCTCGGAGTTACTAAGCGAACCTAAATTTAATTTTTCTTTTACATAGAAAGTGGTGATGCATGCATGAGACTCACTGATTCTTGCAAGTAACAACTCTCGTGACTTGTCTTTACATTAAATTTTCTTACGTAAATAATAATATAATATGTGTAATTTAGGCTTATTTTGATTGCGGGAAATTGTTGGAAATTATTTCATCTAAAGAATAACAAATTTTGAAGTGTACCTATTTTAATTTTTAACGGAGCAAATTAAAACCTCAAAAAGACTGACAACGTTTAATCGTCAAACATTTGCATAGCACAATCTTATTTTGTATTTTCTGTCTAAAGAATATAAGTTTCTTTTGAATAAAAAACAAGTATAGAATGTTTCGTATGGCTTTCAACTTGGGGTTGGAAATCATCTTCACAAATACACTGATGAGCGCTAACGTTAACTGGAAATCATCTATATGCTTTTAAAGTGTGGTTTCTAGCTGTGACAAAAAAAAAAAAAAAGTGTGGTTTCTAGAAGAAGAAAAAAGTGCTAACGTTAACTGTTAACACTATTCGTCATCGACAATTCTTAGATCTATTTTGCTGAATTTAGTATATAGTTCATTAAAAAGGATAATAAGGTATTTGTGATGATATTATTGATATGTTAAAAGTAGTGCTGGAACTTGTATCCGGAATCCGGATTCGATTTGAGTTCCGCTCTGAAATTAGGATATCCAAGAGTGCGCAGATCCAAATCTGGATAGTAAAATTTTGGATTCGTGCAAACCAAATCTGAATCCGAATATCTTAATTTTTAGGTCTAGATATCCGAATTCGAATCCATATTTTAATAAATATATTAATTTTTAATTTTATTATTAATTATATCTAATATATTAATATTTATACATAAAATAAATTTAATAATATTCTAATTTTATATTAATAATATTATATGTCATATATATATATATATTCATAAATTATGTTTAAATATTTAGTTTATGTATGATTTTTAGAATTTTTGTTTTTTTAATTATTTTAACGGATCCGAATCCGGATACTCGCGGATATCACGATATCTAGACGGATATCCGAAGTCTGTATATCTGGAAGACACAAATCCAAATCCGGATACTAAAATCACGAATCCAAATCCGGATACTAAAATTACGGATCCGATGAATCCGTATCCAGATACTTCAAATTTTCCCAATATCCGGATCCGTCACACCCCTAGTTTAAAGTATTAAAAATTCCTACTCATCAATTAAGGTCTCTAAAACCAAGTCGAAGAAAATGTCAAAAATGTCGTATATGCTGAATCGTCCGTTGATTTGGGGGGAGTTTTCAACTGAAATTGTTCGTGAAGTTACTCATCAATATTATATATATTGCAGATGGTTTATTATTAATTGTAATACAAACAAAGATTATATGATGATATACTTAGTGTTAAAAAAAAGATCATGTCTCATTGTAAATCCCTTATATATTAAGAAAGAAATATTGTAATAAATGCGTTCACACCATAACTAACATGTGTAGGTCTTACAATCATTTGACAATAAATACGTTCACATACTAATTTTTTAAATTTATTATTTAATGTGTTTATACGCTATTTTTTTCATTAATTCATTTTTCCTACATTTTAGCCTTTGTATTAATAAATTAAAAATTTTCACGTGAAACTAATGAATAATATATTTATTGTAAAAAAAAAACAAAATCATTAAAATTCGCATAACCTAAAATGTTGTGATAAAAATGTTTGTAGCAATTGAAAGTTCCGTACCTTGTCGAAGTTGGTCATGGTTGAGGCTTCGGTACACAATAACAACAAATAAGGTGATTGATTATTATTATTTTTTTGTAACACAAATAAGGTGATTGATTATGAATTAAAGAAGCTGAGGTGAAAAAAACCACATGTAAAGTCGGATCTTTAGTTTAGTCATATATTAGCATTTTATAAAGTTTTCATATCATACCAAGAATTAGAAATAAAATCAAATTGGTAGAAAAAAAATCAGAAATCAGAAAAACTTTAAAAATAAATAAAAATCACAAAATCGATTAAAATAGAATTCATGTACCAAGTGAAGATGTCACTTTGTAATATATATTGTTTTTATTGTTTACGGGTACAATTTGATTTTCTTCATATGAAAAATGTTATTAATTTTTAGGTTTTTTTTTATTTTTACTTAATTTTATTTAAAAATTACTATCATGTGTTATTTTGAACAAAATTGTTTTAAATCTTAATTAACGGTATATTCATATATTTATCATCACATTTATATACTTTTACATATACATACATGTACACATTGACATGACATGAACGACTATATAACTAAATATTCACCACAAGTGAGAAGGGTAATTCTTATTGAAGTTGAATTTTTTTTAATGTTTTATTTCATTATCGCTCAAATTGTAATGAAATGTTTTATGTTAATATTTTTTCTCTTTTTTTGCAAATATTATTTAAATTTTATTTGATTTTACATGTCTTTAGAAATTATTATAGGAAACTATTAGTTCGATATAAAAAATGTCTAAAATTTAAATAAAATGAAACCAAACAAATAACAATAGTTTTTGGTCATCATCGAAAAAATCAAAAAACATCAAACATTCAAACCAGAAAAACCAAAATAAATATATATTTAGAATGGTAGTTATATTTTAGGAGATTAAAAAAAACAACGTAAAACTAAACCAATATTCATGCTAAACAGATATAATATCATTTTTATCTTAAAAGTAATAAAAGTAATAATCTCATTCCGCGTAATGCGCAATTAATTAAGTAGTGTTACCAATGAAATTTAAATCATTGTTGCCGCCTTGCCGGACGCAGTGTGGAGTAAAAATGTGTTCTTGTGTGTATTGTACGAGGTATGGTTCAATTTAATCATATAAGATCTGTTTTGTTCTATTTGACTATCCTTTTAGCAGAACACGTTAATTGATATCTCATCTTTAGTCTCTTTCTCTTCAATCTCTTCACACTTCAATGGTTCAGCTTACATTGTATCAAGCGGACCCATCATATTATTGGGGTGTGATTCATGAGCCTTAATTATGGTGGTCCAGCAGCTAGTGACTCGTGAGCTAGAGATAGGGTAGTCCAGCTAGTGACTCATGAGGTAGAGAGAGGGTGGTCGAGCGATTATGTAGACAATTAGACCATGAGGTAAATGTGCGAAATGAATTTGGTGGTTGCAAATTTTAGAACAGTTGCTATTTAAGTATAGTTAACATAAAAACAAACCTAGTACTGCTTATCTTCCATTTTATCAGGCGAACCCACCTTATTAGGGATATTGAATTAATTTATGGTAGCCAGTGATTCATGATCTTCAGAGAGGGTGGTCCATCTAGTAACTCTTGAGCTAGAGACAGGGTGGTCCAGCTATTGTGTAGGCAAATTCTATAGACCATGAGATAAATGTGCCAAATGAACTTGTTGGTGACAAAATTTAAGTAAGTCTAGTAAACATAAAAACAAGCCTAGAAAAACTCGGTGTGATTTAACACTAATTGAATGTATATTTCATGATGCTGCCTATATATACCATTACTTGCCTCTTAGAATAACCATACAGCTCAGAGAAACATGAAGACTTATCTAATTCTCCTTCTCATCTTCTCACTTCTCTTATCATTTGCCTCTGGCGAGCAATGCGGTCGTCAATCCAAACCCCCGGGAGCACTCTGCCCCAAACGGTCTATGCTGCAGCACTACCGAACCTTACTGCGGGCATGGTTGCCAAAGCCAGTGCACTCCCACTCCTCCCACTCCTCCTACTCCACCTACTCCTACCCCTCCTAGTCCCACCCCTCCGGGTCCCACCCCTCCTGGTCCCAGCGGGGATCTTTCGGACATCATTTCAAGAGATCAGTACTATACAATGCTTTTACACACGAACGATAATGCTTGTCATGCTCCTGGTTTCTTCACTTACGAGGCCTTCATCACCGCCGCTAAGTCTTTCCCTATTTTCGGTAACACCGGAGACCTTGCCACGAGGAAGAAGGAGATAGCAGCCTTCTTCGGCCAGACTTCCCACGAAACCACTGGTAATAATTACCACGTACTTTGGTTCTATTTTCAAACACAAGATTTGAGTTTAATTTAGATGAAAAATGCTAGTAGTTTGTTTTGAAATGCATACACACATTTCTTATTTTTTATATAAAAAGAAAATTTTGTAAAAGCGCCAAAAAAAAAAAAAACACCAAACGCAAGCAGCATATTTTAACCTTTATGATTCTTTATGTTCAAAATGATCTGTACCACTTTTTAGATATATAAAATACTCATCTATAAAAAATCTATATGCACATATTAAAAATTTTAAAATTTGAGAACATATACATCCTATTATTGATTAACTATTTCAATAAAAAAAAAATTTCAATAACTTTTAACCAATAGTAATTCAATAAATATAATTATTTTATAGTTAAAAATTAATAATTGCCGAGTTGCCATTATTAATTCATGCATACAAAATATAAAAAAATTATCTTTTCGAAACAAATATCTCTTATAAAATGTATATATATATTAATGAAAATAACGGTAACATGCTGAAGGTGGGTGGTCGGGTGCACCGGACGGAGCAGATAAATGGGGCTACTGTTACAAGGAAGAAATTGACCAAAGCGACCCCCACTGTGATAGCGGCAACCTCGAGTGGCCATGCGTCCCTGGCCAATGGTACTACGGAAGAGGACCGATCATGCTATCTTGGAACTACAACTACGGACCGTGCGGGAGAGACATAGGACTCGACTTACTACACAACCCAGATGTTGCGTCCAAAGACCCAGTGATCTCTTTCAAAACCGCCATTTGGTTCTGGATGACTCCTCAGGCTCCTAAACCCTCGTGCCACGACGTGATCACCGACAAGTGACAGCCGTCGGCAGCCGACATTGATGCGGGGAGATTACCTGGTTATGGAGTGATTACGAATATCATTAACGGTGGATTAGAGTGTGCTGGTCGCAATGTCGCACAGGTCCAAGATCGGATTTCGTATTATACAAGGTACTGTGGCATGTTTGGTGTTGATCCTGGAAGTAATATCGACTGTGACAAACAAAGGCCGTTTAATGAAGGTAGTAACGTTTTCTTGGACGCTGCTATTTAGTAAAGGAGTGTTAATGCAGCTTTGTTGTATCCATGCAATAAGAGAATATCAAATTAAATAAAACTCCTTCTCATTAAGTAACGTGTTTTATAAGTAATCTTGATTTTTTTTTTCTCGAGTAAGCTTATGGTACTATATAAAATTGGTTACAGTAACCGGTTGCGACCAAATTAAACCAATCTTAAAGACCAATAGTCACCTGTCTTATGCATTAGACGAAAGTCAATTGACATGGAATCATATTTGAATAGTATCAAGGAAACTATACAACCACAAGAACCATGAAGGTGTTCTTTGTTTATGTAACTTTGTAAGATATTTGAACTTCTGATGCAAGTCTTGAGTAACATATAAGGATAGATAAATTAAGACTTTTAAAGGGCGTGCAATCATGGATTCATACAATACATGGAAACTGGAAGAGGAGATTCTGATAGCATAAGAAGCATTTTCTAGACAAACCGCTAAATGCTGCTACTCTAGTTATGTCCTACTTGGTACTGCTTTGCCTTAATCTTCTTCTTCGTCATAATCTTCCTCTTCCTCGTCTATCCCCTTACCCAAATTTGCAAACTTTGCTGGATCTATTTGACCTAATTCCATAGACCAGCACGTATATTCCTCTGAAGCCGTGGCTATGTCCGTGGCTGCGACTGGTGCCGGCTTGGTCTCGTTTAGGTCGAGAGATTCAGCGTTCAGATCAATGTTAATGCCTTCTTTTGAAGTTTGGAGTTGTGGCTTGATGTCTACGTTTGATGCTGCAATGCCATCCTTGGTCTCAATCTCTTGTGGTGATGACACTGACACTTGCATCTGGATACTGTCTTGAGGAGGTTGCTGGTCCAGCATGGTGGATTCAAGTTCCATCTCGCGGTTCAGATTCTCTCTTTCGGCTGCTGCTCTGGCTGCTCGTCCACCACGACCTCTTCCTCGTCCTCTCCCTCTACTACCCCTGCCACTAGGCTTAGCATTCCCCATCTCTTGCTGCAATAATAGCACAACACCAACAATGTGAGTGCTTAACATAAATAGAGTAACTCAATAATGAAGTAGCTAAGAAGAACATGAGTTCACTGTTTTGCTTTTCTTAGATTCCTCGTCGCTGTCATTCGCTTGGTCACCGACCGGCTTCCTGATTTAACCATTTAGGATCAGCTTGATACTTTCTTATCAAATAAAAAAACCCGAATATACATGAAGAAGCCAAGAGATTCAACCTTCTCTTGGAGATGCCGCGATCATCCATGGTAACATCACCATGGCCCTGCCCTTGAGCATGGCCATAGTCAGGCACTTTACTCACAACTTCCCTCAGAAAATCAAACACGTTATATCTTTCCACACAATGTTTTCTGTAAAACAACAACAAAACACCTTCAGTAAACGTGGGATGCAGTAGTAACACCAGAAACCGTATGAAGAAAAAATTGCAAAACAAACTCTACACCAAATTAGTGGTATAAAGTTCTGTAACTCTTAAACATCAGCTCTTCCGCTTAACATCATCATGATACCTCTTAAACTAATAGTTACAACATCTGAAACCTAGAGGATGTATAAATGCATTCAAGTGAACCTCTCATGGTCTTTAGACAGTGATTATGTTAACATGCAGAAGGGAAGTGAGAGATAAAAGGTTACGCAATCTAGTGCTTACAGGTGCAATGAGCTAACGGTCTTGGCACCTCTCTCAAGGGTTATCTCATAAGTTCGATCACAAAGGTCTTGCAAGAACAATTCCAAAGATTTTGCTGTAATTAATTATAGAGGACAAATATTTTAGTATCATATCACAATAGCGTTACAAAAAATTGAAGTCTGCGATAAAGGCCATGACTTACAAACTAAGACAGGCACAGCCAAAGCTATCTTGCCAACATCCTCATCAGCTTGCATTATCTTTTTAATACGAGCCTGAAAAATTGCGCATCAAAACAAAGCGAATCATAAAGAAAATGTGAAAACACTAATTGTGCTCAGTACCATCATCAATCACATTTGAAATAAGCATAATACATAACACTCACAACAGAATTTTCCATTCTGTGTATAACAACCCTATACTAGCCATCATCAACAACATTATACTAACTTATGAAATGGTTTGAGAGGTTTCATACAACAAAAGTATTCACAAGATCTAGCTAAGAAACTGGAATTGATTTTGTATTCTAGCTTCAACCAGAGACTATAATCTAGTATCAACACTATCTCCAACCTATGCAATCCACCAAAACGACAACGTTTGAGAACATAAAGACACCTAACATCTTCAACAGAATCAAAATTCCATAGAGGAAGGATCTTGACGATAAACCTAAAGCCCTAGCAACCACCAAATAATAATATAAATGGAAAATTGATTGCTAAGTCATACGCTAAGAGAGACCAATTCGCCAGAAATGAAATCGAGTCTAGATTGGTCTTAGAACACGTGATTCAGGCAGAAGAGTGTTTGGACGGTCCTAGAAAAAACAAAAGTATGTTCGAGAAATTGGACTTTCAGTTTTACGAGACGAGAGAACTTACAGCAGGGAAGCGAGTATCGAGCTTCTTCCTCATGGTTTGCAAACCGTCGAACTGAGAAAAAACGCAAAAACCACCAAGCAAACTGGACTCTTCGGATAAAAAAGCAGAGGGTAAATTTTAAGTACAGAAACTCCTTTCTAAGATCGGAATCGTCTCCTTCATCGATTACCAACACTCCCAGATCCGGCGACGGCGGTTTCCTTGTTATAACGGTGGTACGACAAGTTTTTGTTAGATTGACTCTATCCTATTGTCCGAAAAGATCTAACCATCCACGTGTTAACTTTTTATTAGGTCGTAAGAGTCTGCTCGTCACAGGCTTGTTATTCATCCACTTTTTTGTATGCTGGAGGATAAAATGGATAATATGCATCTTTGTTTTTTATTTTGGTAACCAACTTTTGTAAATTTTTGATTAATACTTATAATCTTAAAATTTTGTTTTCTAAAATATTTTCCGCATGATATATAAAATAATAATTAAAAGAAGTTATGAATTTACATATTTGTAATTTTTTTAAAGTTTAGTTTAACAGTTATAATAACATAAAATTTAACCAAAAAATTATAATTGTCATAAAAGAAATTATATTTTTTTTATGTAATATTTTTATATAAGTAACAATGTGAATATAATTTGTCAAATCATGTGTTAGAATAATTTTATATATTTATTTTTTAAATATAATTAAGATATATATATATACATATATTTATATTTTCGGATTTGAGCGAATATTCATTTTTAAAAATTTTAATATTTATATTTATTTCGATTTTAACGGATATTAATTTTTACTATTTAACTCGATTCAAAAGTCTATAAATCTTGAGAATTTGCAAATAACAAAACAAATCAAATTTAATGGATAAAACTAGATCTCGACCCGCACAACCGTGCGGGTTTTATTTTCTATACTAAATCATTTTAGTTTATAAAACAAAATTTATCAATAAATTAATATATTTTAGTATTATGTATTATCTAATTCTATTATACATGTGTTTATGTGATTTGTGATATTATTATTACTATAAAAAATCAAATTTTGTATTCTTGTAACAAATTTTGTTTTGAAAACATAATTATGTAACAATACTATTTTAAATATTTTTATTACTAAATTTGAAATATATATAAAATTTAAATCAGATTGGACCTACTGTTAAAAACTAAATCACATTGGTAATAGATAATTCTTTTTTGGTATACGGTTAAAAACATCAAATTTTTAACACTATAATACATTGTGCCTATAAAATATTACGGTGCAATTAGTTAGTCTGTAATTTAGATCTGATGTATATAATTTGTTTTATAAACATAGCATACATATCGTGATTAGTTAAACCCATTTGGTACGTTAGTCTAAAGGGTTAGTCGAAATTTGGTTTATATTGCACGTTCAGAATAATAACAATTAGTCTAAACGGTTAGTCCAAATTTAGTAGATATTGCATGTTCAAAATAATAACAATAGGATAATGTATTGGTCCACAGACTGGTTTGATAATGGTTTACATCGTGGTTATCTATAAATTGATTTTACATTAAATAAGGATTAAAATTGGTGATGTTTACCATTCCTGTTTTGTAGGAGTTAATGGTTATATTAGTTATGATATATTATTAAGTCATGTTATTAGTAATAAATAAATAATAACTGATTTATAGTGAGGGTCCATTTCTAAAAAAATCACACATGAATCAAGGTTGTAACTTCTCTTTTAATATAATAGATGTCCCAAACTAGTTAGCCCACATAACCATCACTATGTTAATGTTTGCTCCTTTCAAAAGTATGCGTGTTGAACCATGACCACGAGTTAACCGGCTTACATTAAGGGCAAAAAGTAATTACCTTAAAAAGACGCGTATAACACATAACATTACTTCTTCCACTAAACCAAAAATAAAAATCCATATTCCCTTAGTCATCTCCCTTCTTCTCCTTCCAATCGCCGACACCGCTTTCCAGATCCGATGGTTCCCCCACCCTCAAACCCGCAACAAATCCAACAATTCCTCTCCTCCGTCCTCTCCCAACGCGGCCCAAACTCCGTCCCATACGACGAATCCACCAAATGGCTAATCCGCCAACACCTCCTCAACCTAATCTCCTCCTACCCTTCCCTCGAACCCAAAACCGCCACTTTCATCCACAACGACGGCCGCTCCGTCAACCTCCTCCAAGCAGACGGAACAATCCCTATGCCTTACCACGGCGTCACTTACAACATCCCCGTCATCATCTGGCTCCTAGAATCTTACCCACGTCACCCTCCCTGCGTCTATGTCAATCCAACGGCTGATATGATTATTAAACGGCCTCACGCACACGTCACACCTTCGGGACTCGTTTCGCTGCCTTATCTGCAAAATTGGGTTTACCCTAGCTCAAATCTGGTTGATCTAGTCTCCGATCTCGGCGTTGCGTTCGCTCGTGATCCACCTCTCTACTCGAGACGCCGTCCTCAACCGTCTCCGCCTCCCCCGGCTTACGATTCGCAATTGATTCGACCTCAAACTCAAACTGCGGATCAGTCGTTAATGAGACCGTTCCCGCCGTCTCCTTACGGTAGAGTTCAGCACCACCAGCATCACCAGCAGCAGAACCAGCAATCGGATGATGCCGCGGAGGTTTACAAGAGAAATGCTATCAATAAGATGGTGGACATGATCCACGTGGATCTCGTTACGATGCGGAGAGCGAGAGAAGCGGAGGCGGAGTCGTTGCTGAGTTTGCAGGCGGGGTTGAAGAGGAGAGAGGAAGAGATCAGGAGAGGGTTGAAGGAGATGGTGGAGGAGAAAGAGACGCTTGAGCAGCAGTTACAGATCATGTCGATGAACACTGATGTTCTCGAGAATTGGGTTAGAGAGAATCAAGGGAAGACTAGTAATAGCAGTGATGTTGTTGTTGATGTGGATAAGGCCTTTGAGTGTGTTGATGGTCTCTCTAAGCAGATGTTGGAGTGTACTGCGTTGGATTTGGCGATTGAGGATGCGGTTTATGCGTTGGATAAGGGGTTTCAGGATGGGGTTGTTCCGTTTGATTTGTATTTGAGGAATGTGAGGTTGTTGTCGAGGGAACAGTTTTTTCATAGGGCTACGGGTTCGAAGGTTAGAGCTGCTCAGATGGAAGCTCAGGTTCATGCCATCGCTGGTAGGTTGCATTCGTGAATGTGTTTTAAGTTGTTTTTTATTGCGTTTTGTGGGATGTTGTTGTGTTACAATGGTGTTATATATGGTCTGAGGAGCTTGGCTTTTTAATTAAAATGTTTATAGACTACATACATTCGACACGTCTGTGCAGATACATATTTGAATGGATCAGTCGTTTCTTTCAGTTTGTGATAGGAGAACCATTGTGATCTACTTTGTTTGTTTTGGGTCTCTTTGTGATGAATCAATTAGGTTTGAATGATATTGTTAGTGTTTGAGTTCATTCATCATGCACAAGGAAACTTAACTGACATAATAATAATAATCCATAGCACATTAGATCCTTCATTTATCTTGTCAAGTCTTGTTATCACCAACTGCAACATACTTGGACCTGGTTTTCTTCATCACTTTGGGTGCAACAAAAGAAACCTTCTTCAGTGTGTTGTGCATTTGAATCCTTGTTGTTGTGTTTGAATACTTCCTTGCAACTTCTTAGCCTCTTTCTTTGGGGAGTTGGGTAATAAACATCAGCCTTCTGTTACAGATTAGAACCAAATCTTCTTGAATCCTTCATCTGTAGATCTTCACAGTTCATGCATTGAAAAGACTCTTACTGGGAGTCTATGAAATTAAACGGTCCAAGAAAAGGTTATAAACAAAAGAAATGGTCGTGAAAATTTAAGAAAGCTTTGATACGTATTATCAGCCTTCAAACATCGTTTAAAACAACATATCTTAACCATGGAGACCTTACTTATCTACGTAAGGATTTTCAAGAAACTCATGTAAGAGATATATGGCTTCCATGCCCTCATTTCAAACCATAATGAGCTATCCAATGAGTCAAGTAGGTTTAATCATGTTAGTGTCGATTGAATCGGTGCTTGAAGGAAATTAACAGAAATACTAATCAATGTTAGTGTCTGCCATTGAACTCTTCGTTGCCAGAAACTGACTGATGACTCTGAACGCAAAAAATTCATAATATTCGATATCAAATCAAACTGAAATTCAATAACTTATGAGGTCTATACTAATACAACATTGAAAATCACTCGAGAAAACATGAAAAACAAAAATTTCTGAATCCTTACACTCACTGGGACATGTTAAACCACAGCTCTAAGTAGAAGAGATTTAAGTTTAGGTGGTAAGCTCCATGATAGCAGAGACAATATCTCCATCAGCAGCCTTGAGAGCCTTCACAGCCCTTGGCCTAGGAACTCCAGCTTGGGTCATCACCAACTCAATGTCCTTTGGCTCAACACCTTCCTCGTTAACCTCTTCATCATCATCCTCAACCACTGCAGCACTCGACGAAGATTCACCCTTTGAGATCATACTGCTGAGATCTGGAGCCTTGAACTGCTGTGCAGCCTGTGACTGAATTTGAGAGCTCATGTCCTCGATCTTCGCCTCTCCAAAGATCACATATGTGTCTGATGCTGGACTCTTGAACACATCAGGCTTTGATATGACAAACATGATCTGTAATCCAAAGAAATATTCCCACAGTTTAATACATTTGAATATGTAAAATCTACGAAGATTGAATGTACAAAAGAAGTAAGTAAACACCAACGTTCTTGCTCTTTTTGACGGTGACACGGCTGACACCAGTAATGGGTTTCATCCCGAGTTTAAGCATGGCTTTGCGACTCTTCTTCTCACTTCTGCTTTGTTTTGATTTGCCACCTGTCTCTCCATCTTGTCCTGTTTCACCAATCACATCACAATATGAAGGACAATACCACAAATAAGAATCGTGACCACCGAAAAGTCTAAAGAATGCGATTCACACAGTGCAAAGAAAGATTCGTTTGAAGCTTCTGTGACCACATATCTATTTATCTTACACATTCACAAAGACTCTAATTATAAACCAATCCTCAACCAGACATAAACTAACAGAACAATAGCATCCGTAACAAACATGTAGTAATTGATTAAGGAAATGAACAATTTTTATTTTAAAAAAAAAACAAACTAAGGACTTACCCTCTGCGTCATCATCATCATCGGAGTCATCCTCATCGTTGTCATCATCATCCTCAACTTCAGGCTTATCAAGCTACAAACAAAAACACAGTAAAAAAAACAAACAAATCAGACACATGCCAAACTAAGTCTATAACTAAAAATACAGATCTAAACTTGCACAGCTACAACCTTAGCATATACGAAGCAAAACACTTAAGATCTGAACTGAGTCTAGTTAGTTTCTAGCTAAAGAGAGAGTAGTATGAAGATAATAAAATTACATCTATCTTTTGTTCTTCCAATTTGGCGGCGAGGATCTCTTTCTCTTCAGTAGTCATGATGATGAGATGTGTATGGAAGTTTAACAGAGAGTGTGAGTTGTGCGGAAACCTTAAAAAAAGTTAAAACCCTAGAAGACTGAAACCTAATTTGTTATGGTCGTCTAAGACCTTGAGCGAGTGAGGAAAATTAAAAAGGCCTAAAACTAATATTAATGGGCCATTTACTTTGTCTGTTGGGCTTAACTACTAAAAAAAGCGAAAAACGTAAATTAGAAAGCCGTCTTTGCTATTCGAACCCCCCCCCCCTTACACTTTCTCTTTTTTATTAAACGTGTTTTCAACTTTGTTGATTTTAATGGAAACGACACTTTATTGAGTTACGGGTTCGCAAAATTTTCACGAATTATTTTATAAACTTATTTTACAAGTTTTTTTTTTTTTTTTTTGTTGTCTGTTGTTATATTGATTTCAAACTGGAAAGAGCCAAACATACACGTTACAAAGACTGTCGTAATGAAACAACACCATAATCCAAAGCCAACAGTTTAGAGACACAACCCTCGAACCATAAGCCGACGATTGCATAGTTACAATCTCGGAGACAAGATCAGACTTAGACACACTTAAACTAGAAAAAGAACAGACATAACTAATGACAACAGGATCCATGCCTAAACAAACTAGAGAAGACTCAAACCCAGCCATAGAGTAAACAAACCGAACCGATAAGTTATGGATAACCGTTGTTGTAGATTGTGTCTCATAAGCGCCTCTGCTCCACCGACCTCTCCAGAACCAACTGACCACGTCAATGGACTATGGAAAAGGTTACTCTGCGCCATCACCACAGATGCGCTCCATTAACTCCCTTCAGATCCAACTACAACTCGCCATTGACCTCTGTAGGGGCTCATCACGAGCCGTCAAAGCGCCTCCAACCTCAAGACCACGGCAGAGCCAACCAGACCTTACTTGACACGCTCTCAATCAATCCAGCCGGTAACCATAAACTCACCACCACAAACCATAGATCTGACGAGATCGACAGCCATGGATTCCGATCTGAGACTCTGCTTCAGAACAAGGAGATAAAGCTTTTGGCCAGATCTGGAATCCTCTAAACTAAAAAACCCGACTTAAGCAAGATCGAAACAAGACAGAGGGGGTTTCCATCTTCTCACAGTACCAACGGCATAGAGCCATCGACCGGAGAAGATGGAAGGACGGCGGCTTCCTTTTTTTTCTCGCTCTCTCTAGGTTTTTTTTTAGATCAAAGTTTTTGTTTACAAGTCTTTTTTTTTAAACGTAATAAAAGTAAAAAGGAATATCCAAGGAAACATCCTGTCACTAGACTGAAAGAAGATATCTATACTTAAAAAAAAAAAAAAGATATCTATACTTTCAGTGGCTTATGACATGTAGAAACTTATCATCTTGATTCTTTCTATCCGAATCTTGAGTTTGAAGATAAAGTTATCTGCTATGTGTCGTTTTCAACTTGTCGCCTTGGAAACATTCAGAGACTTTGTCTCCTGTTCTTTCCCTTGGGTTGGCTTGTAACTTAAAGAACTCAAAACTCTTTGGATTACTCATTAATGGCTCTATCAATGAGTTATGTTTCTTTTTCCAGAGTTCATGTTGGTTATGGTTGAGTCAATACTTCGGAGTTATTGAAAACATGATGATCTTATACAAATCTGAGTCTTTAGGCCATTAAGCATTGTCACACAATAGTATAGTAAAAACCTTACTGAAGAAATTAAAAAGAGACCAGATTCTTTTGAGACAGATCAAAACTGAAGCTTGCAACATTGAGTCATCTATATACACACATATAAACAAAAGTCTTCAAACAAGAAGCTGATGAGGCGACAATGGTTGATTTTGAACCAGCAGAAGCTACTACTGTACTCTTTCTGGTAGAGGAAAGTTGCTTATGTTGGATTCCATCTTGTTGTATGTCAGGTTTGCAACAGCTCTATCGATTGAGTTTGTTTCTGATTCAATCTCTTCCTCTCTACTCAACCTGAAATCAAATAAATGTCACTCTGATCAGCCTCCACATAAGAAAATCTATATTTCGATCCTATTAACAAAAAAAAGATGATTTCATTTGATGAGTCTATACCTGGTATTGTCACCATAATCATATCTTGATGCTTGCATGTTGAACTCTTCCGAGTTGGTATGCATGTTGAACTCTTGTGAGTTGGTGCTGTCTGAATCCAACTTCTCTTGTGAGTTTCTTGCAAGCCGGTAAAACGTATCTCGGAAACACTTTCTTGTCACATCATTTAACTAAAAAGAAAGACAAAAACAACAATTTGACATCAAAACAAGTCCACTACACTGTCTCAATGACATGAACAAGGGATGTAAAATCACACCAAACTCACCTTTTCTGAAGCTCTCTGTAGATCCTGCAAAACTACTTCAGAAGACAGTTCATCATCCACATAGTGTGAATCTAACATGTTCTCTTCAGACATATCCGAGATTGTAAATGGAACCTCCTCCTTTAATAAAAAAAAATGGAGATTCAATATCTAAAAATATATCATCAACTCCAATTTAATAACTGTGACCAATACTCAATATAAAAAAAGTCAAATTTGGGACCAATCCCTTACCTTTAAAGACATGTCATGACACTGGAACATGGGGACTTCACCACCACCATACATAGACGAAGAACCAACACTATTATAACTGCTAGAAGCACGATGTGCATCTCCATCACTCCCTGGACCATCCTCCAAGATAGAACTTCTTCAGTAAAACCAAAAACAGAGAAAAAAAAACATAAGCTAACTTGCAAACAATAAAACAATCAGTCATGAAGTTGAAAGAAAGTGGCTTTACAAGAATATATCATCCATCTGTTCGATTCCTTCAAAATCATGAAGCGAAGGAGCACCACCGTAAAAAGCCTTTGATCTCTTAGACTCTTCTTCTTCTTCACTCGTTGGCCTCATACCCATCTGAGTATACAACAACGCTTCTCCATTAAAACCATTGTAATCGAAGCATTTCTGAGTAGCTTCAGGGGAGTTCATGTTCCATCCACCCCACATATTATTAGATTGGTACGTCTCTGATGACGTGTCTTGATAATTAGGTACAACAAGATCTTCAAAGTTCCTTCTCGTATAACAATCCATGAGATCTATCATAAAATCAAACAAAGATCACGAATTTCAGAAACCCATTAGAGAATAAACATGATTATAATTAATAAGAACATCGAAGAAAGAAACTCACTTTAGATCAGAATCAGAACAAGAAGCTCAGATCAAGAAGTAAAGATAGAAGCTTTCGAGAGAGAGAGAGAGAGAGAGAGAGAGAAGGGAGACTAGTTGTGTTCTGTAATGTTTCAACTTCCTAGGAGGTAAGATAGACAGAACAAGTAAGAGAAAGCAAGCGCGTGAGGTTATTATGAGCGCGTGAAGTAGATCTTGTTTTCGTGGCTCTGAATTCATAGACGAGATTTGTGGCTCAGATCTTTCCTCCATCTAAAGCACTCTTCTCATTGGTCCACGTGTGTTCCCAGATCTTTTCTTGTCCCTGCAAGTTGCAGTGTTTCAGACCCTACGTTTCTTGTCATTCCGGAAATGACCTTCGCAAGCAGTGAGTGGATAACCTGGTTGGTAGAGGATATATTTGTCTTTTACGTTTGGAAACGTGTTTTGCTTGGCTGATATTAAGTGCATACGTGACGAGTTTCTCGGTGGAGAAGAAAACACGTGGCATGCGATAAGCCGTAAGAATGGCACGTCGGTATTATCCGGGTGAAGGGAATATATTATTCAACTCAAAGAGTATCCCATCACTTAATGGTCCGCGGCCCATATATTAATGGGCCGAGACCCAAGCCTTTAAAAACACCTAATTGGTGGCAGCATCGGTTCTTTAGTCTTTTTTATTATTCTTTCAGATTCTTTTTCCACGAGGAGCTTCTGGAGAAGCAGGAACATGTTCAAGAACACGTTTCAGTCTGGGTTTCTGTCTATTTTGTACAGTCTAGGGTTCGTGTTTTTGTTAATTTATTTAAATTTTTGATTGATTTGAACCGTTCGATAATCTCTAAACTATGGATTGTTTTGATATAATTTTTGCAGAAGTAAGCCTCTTCAGATATGGGACAAAGAAGGTAACCAATTGATTATAAAAATTGTTTATTTTTAAGTAATTGAATCCATAGTTGTTGTAAGAGATTGAATCAAATTTAGGGTTTAGCTAATCATCAATTGATTATAAAAATTGTTTTTTTTTAAGTAATTGAATCCATAGTTGTTGTAAGAGAATCAAGTTTAGGGTTAGCTAATCATATTTGTTTTGTTTTAAATTCATAGTTGAGGATGGTCATGTGAAGCGTTGTCATGATGATGACATACAATCCAATGTTCTCGAAGTAGTTGGATCAAACATTCAGTCTACATACATCACATGTCCCGCTGATCTGTCCGCAACACTTGGTATCAAACTACCCTTTTTGGTATTGGTAGTGAAGAACATGAAGAAGTATTTCTCATTCGAGATTCAGATTCTTGATGACAAGAACGTGCGTAGGCGATTTCGAGCTTCAAACTTTCAAGTACGTATCATCTGTGAATCTGATTCCTCTTGTGCAGTTTCTGTGTTGTTGTGTTGTTGTTAGTAGTATTGATGTGTTTTTGTTGGACTGTTATGTTTGTGTTTGTAGTCTGTGACTAGAGTAAAGCCGTATATTTGCACAATGCCATTGAAGATGGATGAGGGATGGAATCAGATCCAGCTGAACTTACCTGATCTTACTAGGAGAGCTTATGGGACTAATTACGCTGAGACATTGCGAGTTCAGGTTCATGCTAACTGCCGTCTCAGAAGGATATATTTTGCTGACCGTCTCTACTCAGATGAAGAGCTCCCTCCGGAATTCAAGCTCTATCTCCCAGTGCAGGTTTGAATCTCAGAGTTTAGATACTTCTATCTTCTTTCTTTTATTTTCTTGCACAGTCATTTTACTTACAAAACTCTTTTTGTTCAACTGCAGAAAGCATGAGAAGTTTATTCCGAGTGTTTCTGCCATTGTCATGGAATCTACTTTAGATAGATCTAGAGCGTCTTAGGTGAGAGTTTCAGGATGGTTTGTAGCATCAGAGTATTTGGAATTTGCCATGCCTTGAGCAGCTTGACTTTGATAACTTATGTTTGTTGTGTTTTTTATGAAATGGGATTATATAAGCGTAAGAGTTTCAATGAATAATGTACTTAATCTAGAATCAATGCATCATTCATGCTTTTGAGTAAAATGATGTGAACATCATGCTCTGTGCTAACTTGTGGGAAGGCAAATTTATTTGGGAGGGACAATGTCATCAAGCCGTGAACACAATTATAGTAATGGTTAAACTCCAGTATCTTTTATAACACACAGAAGGATAGTTTACTGGCCAGTGACCCGCTTGGCACCGTCTAAAGTGTTCCTGAGAAGCATTGCCACAGTCATTGAACCTACGCCACCAGGGACCGGAGTTATGAAACCTGCAACTTCAGAAGCTTCTGCGAAATCAACATCTCCGACTAATCTGTATCCTGACTTCCTGCTCGGGTCGCTGACTGCGTTAGTTCCAACGTCGATCACTGCAGCCTCTGGCTTTATCCACTCTCCCTTAATCTGAAAGGGTGTCAAGACACAGTGTGTTTTTTGAATTGATGAAAACTAATCGCAATTTGTCTACTACTGGATTATTCTTCAGAAATATCACCATGCAGGCTTGTCTAGCTGCAGCAGTAACGATGTCAGCTTCACGAATGATAGCTTCAGGATCCTTGGTGTGAGAATGTACAGTTGTAACAGTAGCATCAGCCTTGAGCAATAGAAGTGAAACGGGTAAACCAACAATGTTACTCCGACCTACTACAACTGCTCTTTACCCCTTTATCGTTATGCCTCTTCTCACTAAGAGTTCCAAACATCCCTGCCTCACAAGAAAGCCACCTCATCAATTATCCACAAGAAAACATGAAGACTATATGCAAAGAAGGAGCAAGTACCTTATGGGTGCATGGAAGGAAGAGGGGTTCTCTACCTTTTCAATATTCAGAGGATGGAAGCCATCAACGTCTTTATCAATGCTGATTGCACCCAAAACATTCTCCTCATTATTATGCTTAGGCAATGGGAGTTGAACTAATATACCTACAAATCAAGTTCTATTACTATAGCTCATTAATGTTGGGATTTTACCAAAAGAAAACCCAAAGTTGAAATAAAGCTAACCATGAACTTCAAGATCTGAATTGAGTTGATGAACTTTGGTTATAAGGTCAGCTTCAGAAACATCCTCTGTTAGGTCAACATCAAATGACTTGATCCCATCCTCAGCACATGCTTTCCTCTTCATATTCACATAAGTCTCTGAATCTTTCCGTGCCCCAACGATGACCACTGCTAGTCCTGGGACCTGCACGAAGCAAAACATCAGACTCCATTTCATTATTGTGCTTTGTTACAATGTATGATATTTAGACAGAAAGTATATGTTACCTGAGACAATGCAGGGAGGTCAAAGAACCAGCAAATCAAGAGAATACTGATTAGAGTTGACACAAAAAAGTTGAATCGGTTCATAATAACATTAACTGAAATTGCGTTTCCATGTTAGCTTGTCGAGCAAACAATGAGTGATCATCGCTACTTAATGCTAAAAGAGAGTAAAGTTTAGATATTTCAATCATTTTATAATCAATAAATCAAAGCATAGTTTAGAAGAGAGCGAGAGAGAGGGAGAGAGAGACACACTGATTCTATAGAGCAGAAAAGATGTTACCAGACTTTTATATCTGAATCTATTCGCCAATAGGACATTTCTAGTCCTCCAACCAAACCACGTCGTATGGATGTCGGCCGGATCGTAATTTAGAAGACTTCCAACGATAGTCTTTAGGGAGGAATTCTATAAAAATTAAGGATTCGATTTTTAAAATTCCTAAATAAGGACTGTTTCTTAGCGAATCTCTACACTATTTACGGTCTCTAGAACATGTGGTATTCTGCGAATGATCTTTTTAAAAAAAAAATAAAAATCTGAAATATCCTTACCAAATCTGAAATACTTTTTCTTAAAGATTCCAACGGGTAACACCGTTGAAGATGGTGTTACACGAATACTCAAAACGCCCAACGAATACTCAAAACACCCAAATCCGTTTGTTTTGACTTTAAACCACGCAACAGTAATAATAGAGTTTTGGCGGTAAATAGGGTCATAGGACACGTGTCGGTATATAAATGGTTGATAATGCGCGTATTTAATATACTTGCGCTGTTTTCCCCGCACTAGAAAATATCAATTTTTTAGTATTTGCCGTTTCGAGAAAGCATTAGATGAAGATACAGATAGAGAGGGTTACGTTAGAGAGGGCAATTCTAAGAGAAGTTACGTAGATAATGTTTTGAGTGACAGATAAGTCATCAAAGCCGAGAACACAATTTCTGAAATGAATAAAACTCAAATCTTTTTCATTGTCACACACAGAGAAGGGATAATATTTACGGGCCAATGGCCCGCTTGGCGGCGTCTAAGGTGTTCCTGAGCAGCATTGCCACTGTCATCGGACCTACACCACCAGGGACTGGAGTTATGAAACCTGCAACCTTAGAAGCTTCTGTGAAATCGACATCTCCAGCCAACCAGTATCCTGATGATGTCCTGCTCAGCTCGCTGGCTGCAACGGGACTACTAATAGACATCTCCAACCAACCAACGTCCATTACTGCAGCCCCTGGCTTTATCCAGTCTCCTTTGATCTGAAATTGTCAAAGACAAAGAGTGTCTTCGAAGTGATAAAAACTATTCACATTTGTTTAGTACCACTAGATAATCTGAAAAAGAAAAAAAAAATCACCATGCAGGCTTGTCCAGCTGCAGCGATAACGATGTCAGCATCGCGTATGATAGCCTCAGGATCCTTGGTGTGAGAATGTACAGTTGTAACAGTAGCATCAGCCTTGAGAAGTAGAAGTGAAACGGGGAGACCAACAATGTTACTACGACCTATTACAACTGCTCTTTGCCCCTTTATCTTTATGCCACTTCTCACTAAGAGTTCCAAACATCCCTGCCTCACAACAAAAAAAACACCTCATGAATTATCATACAAGAAAACAAGTAGGCTAATTCTCTTGGCGCCAAAAGGAGCAGTTACCTTTGGGGTGCATGGAAGGAAGAGGGGTTCTCTACCTTTCATGGCTAGCTTGCCAAAATTCAAAGGATGGAAGCCATCAACGTCTTTATCAATGCTAATTACACCCAAAACATTCTCCTCATTGATATGCTTAGGCAATGGGAGTTGAATTAATATACCTGCAAATCAAGTTTTATAGCTCATTAATGTTCGCATTTCATCAGAAAGCAAAAACAAAGTTACAATAAAGCTAAATAACCATGGACTTCCGGATCTGAATTGAGTTCATGAATTTTGCTGATAAGATCAGCTTCAGAAACATCCTCAGGTAGGTCAACATCAAATAATTTTATCCCAACCTCATCACAGGCTTTCCTCTTCATATTCACATAAGTCTCTGAATCTAACCCTGCCCCAACTATGACCACCGCTAGTCCCGGGACCTACACGGAGAAAAAGTTAATGTTTTTATGCTACTTTCATGGTCAAAGATCTAGCAAACCAAAAGTGAATACTGAATGGAGTAGACGCAAAAGTTAAAAATGTTTTTTTTTAATGAACGCTACGCAAAAGGAATCTTTCTATAAATAGAAGAGACCACTGGTAGACGCAGATTCAAATGATTCAACTCTAATGCCATACTGAAACTAAAAGCTAATCATTTTATGATTAATCATGACACTTGGAAGAGAAGGAAAACAGTAACTTTGGGTTCAAACAAAACAATGCTAAAGCTGTGAGACTGAAACTACCTATACCTTGCCGTGTTTCTCAGATAGGTGCCGAACTTCCTCAGCGATCTCTAATCGGATGGTATGAGCAACCGCCTTTCCATCGATTATTTTCGCTGTTTGATCAGATGGTAACGCCATGTGGTCGCAATCTCATTGTATATCTGATTATCTGGACAGTAGTGTAATAATTATACTAGGTAGGGACAGGTGCTTGCACTGGTTTTAGATTGATGTTTTGATTTCATAAAACACTTAAAAATGGGAAACTTTTTCTTGTAATTATATGGTTTTTGTATATATTGTATGGAACTTATTTATGAAAATTTGTTTTTTTTTTCGTGTAAGTTTGGGTTGGTTTCAGTAATCATAAAACATAACCAATTATTAGCAATTTTGTTCTTAAGGCTAGAGAAAAAATTAGACCCAAAAATTCATAGGTGACCTTTACTATTCATTTTATCGGTTAAAATGATGATGATGTGTCAGTTTTTAAAAATAAAAATAAAAATACATAAATATTCAAAAATTGGAAAACTGTAAAAAATTCAAATATTTTTTTTTATTTTAAAAAGCTAAAATTTCAAAAATATAAAAATTAAAATTTCAAACTTAAAAATAAAATAAAATATTAAAAAAGTAAAAATTCAAATTAAGATCTAAAGTTAAATGTCAAACTTAAAATTAAAAAAAAAATTTAAATTTTTTTAAAAATTCTAAACTAATATCAAAATATTAAAAAATATTTTAAAATTTTATTTATTTGTTTGTATTTATATATCTAGTGTATAAGAGTCTTTTACCGTTTTAATGAAATATTTTGGTCATTTTCCTTCTTAAAAATTTGTTTTTGGACAAAAACTTAAAATCGTTTATTTGAGAATTATTAGCCTTATGTGTGGTACCATTAATTAACATGTGGTGAAATCGGCACCCCTCTGGGATGCCTTTTGTGGAGGTGTACTATTTTGTTAGTCGAGCTTTGTAAGGTACCTAGATACCTGGGTTTTCAAAAAAAAAGTTTTGATGGTGGCAAATTCTGATATCGTTATAAGTGATGGTCACTGTCACTGAATGAAATTTTAATATGAATTTGAATTTTTCGATTAACTATTTATAATTTTAATTTTTAAGTTCAAATTTTTAACTTTAGATCTTATTTTGGAATTTAGAATTAAAAAAAAAAATTTAATTTTAAGTTTGACATTTTAATTTTATATTTTTTGGAGATTTTAGATTTTTGGAATTTTTTAAATTGATTTTTTTTAAAAAATTGAAGTTTTATATACTTTTATTATTATTATTTTTTTAAAGGACGGAGACATCTTTATTTTAACCTGTAAAATGAATAGTACTGATCGCCTATGAACAAAAAAAGCACCGTTGGATGTTTGTTATGATAAAAATGTCACTTTACAAATTTAATATACTAAAATTTTAATGTTTAAACTGATAGTAAATGACACTTTTAGGGTTTCAAATGCGATTTTCTCCTTCTAATTGGTTTAATTTTCTTATTAAAAGGAAAAAAAAAATTTACACATGTCACAATTTTAAATATACAATCACCATATGTGGCGTTTATGTTAATTAACAGTTATGAAACTAAGCCTTATGAAGATCCACTCTCAGCAGAGTTTAAAATATGAGTCCCCAAAAGAAGAAAAAAAGAGTCCCACCCGCGGATAGGATATCCCTACTCCTGCAACCAAACGCTATATAAATTTTCACGAAGTTAAATCAAACGACAAAACGACGTCGTATGACGTGGGTCGGGTCGTAGCTTACACGAGGCTTTGACGCCGTGAGATGTCCAACAAATAAGAAAGTTTTGGCGGTAAATCGGGTCACAAGGGGTACGTGTCGACATATCAGTGGCCAATAGTGTGCGTATATAAAATGATACGCGTATATATACTCGGTGTTGTTTTTCCCGCTCGAGATAATATTAATTCTAGGGTTTGCCGTTTAGAGAGAGAGAGAGAGAGAGAGAGATCGTCAGAAGGTAAGAAGAGAGTTAACGTAGATCTCTCTATTACACCGTTTCTTCTTTAATTCGTCGATTTTAAGACGGATGCGTTAGCAGTGAGAGCTCTTTAAATTTTTGGATCTTTCAGCTTTAATCATCGACGTTTCGTTTTTTTATTGGGATCTGTACAGAGAAACAAACGTAAGATCTTTCTCTCTCTTTTTACATATAATTGGATTTGAATTTTTGCTATTCAATCTCAACTTCGAGATTTTTTTTCTCCTATGAAAAATTTTCAATTCGTGTGATCAATTCTTCAGTTAACGCATCATATGGCCTTGAAAAGTAGTCTCCTTTTTCTTCTTCAGTTAACCGGTTTATTAGGAGGAACAATTAGCTTAATTTGTGTGATTGATTCTTCAAATTGGGGAATTTTTTTAAATTTTCAGTTAACCAGTTTATTGGGAGAAACAATTAACTTGGATTTTCATGTTTTCAGCTACGTTGGCGACCATGGAAGATGTTCAGGCTCCAGTGACATCACCTATTGACTCTGATGGAAACCGAAGTGAAGCAACTCTTTTGGACTTATGCGAGGTTCTTTGTTGATCTCTAATTGGCATTATATCATGTCTTGAAGACTAACTCTCTAATCCCTAGAATTTAATTTTATTACTTGCAGAAAGTTCTGTCTCTTGAAAAGAGCATTTGTGATGAAGCTTTAAAGCTGTTTACAGAAACCAAACGGATTTTGTCACCAAACATTGGATGTAGAACGGTGAATTACAATTCTCTTCTTTTACTCATTTTATCAGTATTATTATTATTATTATGATTAATTCTTTTTTTTTTTTGTTATTATGCTTATTAGGGGGAGAGTTTCTGGTTTGCCTCCATTCTCTATTCAGTAAAGATGCTTTCTCTGAGAAAACAAGATTCAGTGTCTGGTGATAATGGGTTTAATCTGTGTCAGATACTGAGGGCTCTAAAACTCAAGTACGTAATCTTTTTCTTTTTACCTTTTGTCTTCAAGTACATTTGTTTTGATGATATTCTTTGTTTTCTGTTTTCAGTATTGTGGATTTCTTTAGAGAGTTACCTCAGTTTATTGTCAAGGCTGGTCCTGTGCTTTCTGAAATTTATGGTGCAGACTGGGAGAGCAGACTTCAGGTAATGCCTAAGCTCTTTATATATAGTTTTATTCTTAGTCCCTCATCACTGCTGATTTGTGCTACTCTCTTAATCTGTGTTTAACATTTACTGATTTTACTTAATAGGCAAAGGAGCTGCAGGCGGATGTTGTGCATCTTAGCCTTCTAAGCAGGTGAGTTTAGTTCCCCTCCTCTCTTGCAGTCGTATGTCTTTTTTTCTTTGTTCTGTGGTATGATAATGGTTGATATAGATACTGTTCGTAACACCTTAATCTGAGAAGCAAACTTTCGTAACACCTTATCAGAAGATGATCGTGAATTGCTGCTTCAAATTTCCAGAGTATCACGATTTAGAATTTTAGATATCTGGTCTCGTGTGAAATGTGCTCTAATGAATTGTCTTGTATTTTAACGTTTTCTTGATAACAGTTTCTACAAACGTGGGTACCGGGAGTTCTTCTTGACATACGATGCAAACGCAGAAAAGACCTCCGCAAACTCTGCTAGTTATTTGCCGGATAGTTACCGTTTTGGATGGTTACTCTTTTTGGCACTCCGAAACCACGCTTTTAGTCGATTTAAAGACCTTGTGACATGCACCAATGGCCTAGTTTCTATACTGGTTAGTGACTATACTTTATTTCTTGATAGACGCTTCATTTGCGAAGGCTAACTTTTCTTTTCGATATCAGGCTATTTTGATCATACACGTCCCTTGTCGGTTTAGAAATTTCAACATCCAAGACTCTTCACGCTTTGGTAAGTGTTTAATTTCTTCTAGCCAGGTTTGCGGCATTTGAATATTCATTCTGTATTCTCATTTCCGTGATGAATTTCAGTTAAGAAACATGACAAAGATGTAGACTTGATTGCATCGCTTTGCAAGATATATGATGCCTCTGAAGATGAGCTGAGGGCAACAATGGACAAGGTAAATAATTTGATAGAAACAATATTGAAGAAGAAGCCATCTTCTGCATCCGCATGCGAAACTGACAAGCTACATAATATTGACCCAGGTTGGTCTTAGAACATTATTATCCTTTCACAAAGTCTTGTAAGTTGATTGAACAGTTACCTGATTATTCTTCAAAACATGGTGTTTCATTTTCAGATGGTCTGACCTACTTTGAGGATTTACTGGATGAAACATCCATCTCAACTAGCTTGATCACACTAGAAAAATATTACACTGATGCAGTTTGTAGTAAAGGCGACCTTGATGAGAGGGTCTTCATCAATGAAGAGGACAGCTTGCTTGGATCTGGAAGCTTATCTGCAGGAGCTGTTAATATTACTGGCGTTAAGAGGAAAATTGATTTTTTGAGCTCACCTGCGAGGACATTCATAAGTCCACTCTCTCCACATAAGTCACCTGCTGCTAAGAAGAATTGTATTGGCGGTGCTAACAGGTCAGCAACACCAGTGAGCACAGCAATGACAACTGCCAAATGGCTCAGGACTGTTATATGTCCGCTTCCCCCCAAACCTTCCCTTGGGTTGGAACATTTCCTGAAATCATGTGATAGGGATATAACAAGCGATGTCACACGAAGAGCACATGTAATTTTAGAATCCATTTTTCCAAATAGTTCCCTTGGTGGCCTATGTGCAGGCGGAAGTTTGCAACCTGTTAAACTTATGGATGATGTATGGGCAAAAGAGCGGAGATCAGAAGCTATCAAGCTATACTACAGAGTTCTTGAGGCAATGTGTAGAGCAGAAGCTCAGATTTTACATGCAACCAACTTAAACTCGTTACTGACAAATGAGAGGTTCAATAGATGCATGCTGGCGTGTTCAGCTGAATTGGTTCTAGCTACCCACAAAAGCATAACAATGTTGTTCCCAGCTGTTCTGGAGAGGACTGGGATCACAGCCTTTGATCTCTGCAAGGTTATCGAGAGTTTCATCAGATTTGAGGATTCTCTTCCTAGAGAGTTGAGAAGGCATCTGAACTCACTGGAGGAACGGCTGCTCGAGAGTATGGTATGGGAGAAAGGCTCTTCAATGTACAACTTCCTGATTGTTGCCAAGCCATCGCTTGCACTGGAGATAAATCAGCTCAGATTACTAGCTGAACCGATGCCATCTCTGGATGCAATTGCAGCGCATATTAACTTCTCTGAAGGACTTAATCATGCCTCATCTATCCAAATGCATGAAACATGTGCAGGTTATTTAGTTTGTATTCGAGTCAAAGCAGTTGAAACGTCTTTTTTTAACCTGCTGTTAATGGTTGTGATTTTCTTACCAAAATTTTCAAACTTACTGCCATACAGGACAAAATGGGGATATTAGATCGCCCAAACGACAGTGTACTGATTACAACAGCATTCTAGTTGAACGCAATTCCTTTACATCACCAGTAAAGGATCGTCTCTTGGCCTTTGGCAACGTTAAATCCAAGATGGCACCACCTCCATTGCAGTCTGCATTTGCTAGGTACATTTTGGGTCATTGCGAGAGTTACTTTACCTTTTAAGTCTGCTAAGTTGGTTTGCTTTATATCCCTGTCCTCGTTAAGTTTAACTTTTTGGATATTTGTTTACAGTCCAACACGGCCTAACCCAGGAGGTGGAGGAGAAACTTGTGCAGAAAGTGGTATCAATATATTCTTCACTAAGGTAGATCAATGTAATCTTTGGTGCTAAAAGTCCAATGCAACTTATAACTAATAGTTTGGTTGGATCCAATCCAACTGAACTTAGCACAGAACGTGAAATTGATTAGACTGGCTATTTGTCTTAACTATCATATTGACTTCATGATGGTTTTCCACAGATTAACAAATTGGCTGCTGTCAGAATCAACGGAATGGTGGAAAGACTACAACTTCCTCAGCAAATAAGGGAGAGTGTTTATCGTCTCTTTCAACATGTACTTGCTCAGCGGACTTCTCTTTTATTTAACCGACATATTGACCAAATCATTCTCTGCTGCTTTTACGGAGTGGCCAAGGTGAGCAAAGTGTTTAAAGTCTTAACTTTATTTTTGTGTGGTTTATAATGGCTTATCTCTCTAACGCTTTTTTTTTTCATGGATCGCCCTCCAGATATCCCAAATGAGCCTGACGTTCAGGGAAATCATATACAACTATCGGAAGCAACCACATTTTAAACCACTAGTTTTTCAGAGCGTTTATGTGGATTCGTTATATTGTCGCCGTCAAGGGGTATTATCCTTAACTTTAAGTTGAACAAGTCTCGTTATTCTGAGACTAAAACATGTGGCAATAACTTGTGTAACAGAGAGTAGGGCCAGATTATGTTGACATCATCACATTCTACAACGACATATTTATTCCCGCCGCAAAGCCGTTGCTGAATGAGATAGTCACTGTGAGAAACGAGAAAGCTGTGGAGGCTAATAATAAGCCTGAAGGTAGTTAAGAAATGCTAGGTTATTGTTAGACGTGAATGCAGTACCTAAGGTTATTGATTGTCTTAAATTCCATTTTTACAGGTCATTGTCCTGGATTGCCAAAGGTGTCAGTGTTTCCAAGTGTTCCAGACATGTCCCCTAAAAAAGTATCCGCAGTGCACAATGTTTATGTTTCTCCGCTTAGGGCATCAAAGGTAAAAAGATCGAAGTACTTAACTCCCTTTATCATGATATGACCAAGTCTTGGGGAGGAGGGAGGTGACAATATTGTTTTGACTAACCTTCCATGTGTGTTGGTGTGTTGGTGTGTTTGTAGATGGATGCTCTTATTTCACACAGTTCGAAGAGTTCATATGCTTGTGTTGGAGAGAGCACACGTCCTTACCAGAGCCCTTCAAAAGACCTATCTGCCATCAACAACCGGTTGAACAAGTAAGTTTTTAAACACCTCTCTTCATCAGCTCCTTCCATATACTGACAAGATTGGTGGATAAAACCAACCCATAATATCCATGTCACAGCAGCAGCAACAGCAACCGGAAGAGGACGCTTAACTTTGACGTAGTAGCAGGACTGATCAGCGATTCCATGGTAGGAAACAGCCTTAGCCTCCAAAATCAAAACCAAAATGGAAGCCATGCACCGTCTTCAGGTGGTACACCACTCAAAACCGAGCCACTACATTCATAGATCATCTTTCTCTCTATCTGCTATTGCTATCATTTGTAAATCTTACCTAGAGAGTTCGTTTTTATGTTTTAGCTTCTAGACATCACGTCAGGCTGAGTCGATAGACCCCATTTATTGTCTCTCTTTCTAATTTATAATCATTAATAAATATCCTTTTACCCTCATAGTAAAAATCCTACCAATTTAATCACGAAAAGATCCTCTGAGCAAAATGGAAGTTAATACTAATCCTTGTGGTAGATCAAAAAGGAGGAAATTGAGTCTTACAATTTGGTTACAATCACATTCATAGATTAAATATCTGAACTGGCCAACTACGCTTCTGACCGTTTGAGCTCACCCCTGTAGCCTCTAATGAGACGTCAATGCTGCGATGCTCAGACGCTCGTGCAACACTCACACGCAGATGGATGCTTGAGACTGGACTTTCTTCAGTTCCAATGGCTCCTCTTCTGTCATCACCAGACAGAACGTTGGCAGGTGCCACTGAGATTGGTTCTTGAAACGTCAAGATCGTCTGAGCCCAGTGTGTTGGAGGAGTGTAGGGTGATGTGGATAGTACGGTTGGGTTTTCCTTGCAGAACCTATCAGTGAAACCTGTGTCAAACCACAACACAACACCATGGCACAACCTAGCTTCTGTTTCTGACTCAATGGGCTCAAGCGTTGCTGTTGCTGTGAAATCTACTTCATCTGGTTTCATGGTAGCCAGGTCAAATGCCTACAAACGAAGAAACACAGCAATCTAAGGAAAGTTGATTCTTAGATGGAAAGCAGATAAAGTTTCAAGCAAGCTTTTCAAACCTTGAGAAGAACAGGTCCAGTCACTAAATGACGGTCCTCTATAACGTCAACAATAGGAATCCGAGCAGTATCTTCAAGAACTTCCTTGCCAATTGAAGACATGTCAAAGCCATAGACATCTTCCCAGAAAGGAAGACTTGTGGCGCCTTTTCCAAATCCAGCAACAAACTGATCCAAAGGAGGAGAAAGAAAGGGGATAAAACTCATCAATATAAGTTCAGAAGAAGAAACAAACATTCAGAGAGAAAGTAAATAACAATCACCATTGTGGCTGTGTCAGGGAGGATTGCACCTCCAGGTTTCAACCACCGATCTCTTGCGTAAAGCACAGAGGTGAGCATTGACTCATATAGAAGGCAGTATCCCATCCATTCGCTGACTAACACATCAACACTATGAGGTTGAATATTTATGGACTTATCAAGCTCTTCAACCATTGAGTGTGCTACTTCAAGCACCCCATTATGCTCTTTATCATTAAACACTTTGTTATCCTTAGCAATCTGATATAGATACAAAAACAGTTTCAAATGGGAGAAGAGATAATACATGAGGACTTAGCGAAAAACCTTTTAGAAAGTAGAGAAAGCTAACCTTAGTTGCAACTTTGGCCATCTTCTCACTAGCTTCAACTGCAATTACCCTTGAAGCCCCAGCTTGAGCAGCAAAAAGACTACAGGCAAAGAAGACACATATTTTAGCAATGAGTAGAATGAGATGGCCACCATAGAGCGAGATAGATATCAACTAACTCACCTCAATATTCCAGTTCCACAACCAACATCCATTACAACAGAGCCAGACAAGAGACTCGGATTCTTCAAAAGAGCATCCCTATATGCTTCTGTTCTAACCTATGATTGAAAATAAACCAAAAATGAATACATCCAACAGTTAACAAACAGCACTCACTTCACATATCTGCAAAGTGCATTATACCTTATCACTTATCATCTCCTTGTGAATCCCAAACGAACTATAAGATCCAAAATAGTTCTCATTCACTTTCCTAACGTTCCTACCAACTAACCTCCCTTCACAAACTCTTGTCTCCTCATCTTTCCCATCCACACAACTTTGTTTCAGGTCACTGCAGTTTGGGATAAGAGTAACATCCACAGAGCTTTCTCCTATAGCCTCAACATCAATACTCAAATCACCAAGCTTCTGCAAATCCTCAATCAAACCCTCTCTATCTAATCCCTCCTCTTCATCTTCTTCCACGTCAGCATCAGAAAAGCTGTACAAAAGTGAATCCTCCTGCCAAAAGGGCTTCAGATACTTCTCATCATCCCAAGGAGGAAAGTTAACATCTTTGACTTGACACCAGCTCCAACATTTGTTCTCAGCCACCTAAGTTCATTAAAAGGAACCAACTTTATCATAAAAAGACAAAAACTTTTTATAACAGGGAAGCAACGAGAACCTGTGACCGAACATAGTTGATGAGCTTAAACGAAGCGTAGAAGTCCAGCTTCAGCTCCTTTCTAACTCCGTGGAAGTCGAACTCGTGGCAGAGACGACAGTGTTCGAATAGTGAATCAGAGGAAACGTAGTGAGAGTCACAGAACAAACAGAGGAAGTCAGATTCCGAGCCGCCGTCACCGTCGTTGTCACCGTTATCACCTGCTTCTTCCCAGTCTCCCCAGTCTCCGTCTTCTGAGAAGTTCTCTTCTGTGTTGTCATCATCGCTGGTGTTGTGAAGTTTGTCTTTAACCATCTTTGTTGAGTGATAATGTCAGTACAACGGCGTTGAGTTCTTGAGGAGAGGTTTAAGAAGCGGAGACACCCCGGCGAGGATTGAGTAGGTAATGACGGTTTTACCCTTCCTCAGAAAACCAATTGGTTCAATTTAAATCTGACTTTGACCAGAGTAAACCGAATCTTATATTACCGATAGGTCCATTTCCCCCACTCAGTGTTAAACGACGTCGTCAAGCGTAGTTTTTTCTTTCTGAAATCAAATCTGACTTAACCAGAGAGAGTAAACCAAAACACATAATACGACTTGTTGACTGTTTCATTTGCAAAATCTTCCGCAGAAAAATATTTATCGCTTAGCCCCTCCACTAATCGTAAAACGACGTCGTTGATTGTTTCTCTCTCTCAAATCGATTAGTATTTTTGTTTCTCATCTTTCTTCTTCGCTTTCGTTATCTCAGGAAGAGAGAAAAATTTTCGATTAAGCGATTCAAACAAGGCGTAGTAGATCAGAGATGGCAGCTCCATTCACGTTAAGGAAAATCGGAGTACCTCCGAACTCAGCGAACCTAACGGAAGCAAGACGGCGAGTGTTCGATTTCTTCAGAGCAGCGTGTAGATCCATCCCTACAGTAATGGACATTTACAATCTCCAAGACGTCGTCGCGCCTTCTCAGCTCCGTTTCGCTATCTCTGCTCAGATTCGTAACAACGCCCACGTCACCGACCCTAAGGTACTACTTCCCCCCCCCCCTAAGTAATCTCACTCTTGATTAAAAAAAAGGGAAGACTTTCTTTGTCTCTGCTTTGGTAGTATTGATTGGTTACCATAGTGACGAACCATTGAGCCTTTTAGCTTGTTAATATGGTTTAATAGTCAATCTATGTGTGAAAGTTGAGAGCTTTGGGGACTTAATGTTATGGGTAGTCAGTCTTATCGATGATCAAAGTGTCTTGTGAATTGGGAGATTTCCTGCTCGTTACTTCCTGTTAAAGCTGTGCTACCTTGTGGGTTCCTTGTGTATATGCCGTTTAGATAATGTCTTTCTTTGCACTTTGTCTAAAAGAAAATGGAAGCAAGAAGTCTATGTGAAAAAAACCATCTGCTTGTGTGGTTTACTATGTTAAAGTTTGCTTTTGTTGTTTACTTGTTAAGTATAAATGGATTCTTTACTATTTGGTGATCTATGTTAATGTTTGTTTCTGTGCTTTTTACTTGTTAGAATAAATGGATTCTTACTATTTTGTACTCTATGTTAAGGTTTCCTTGTGTGGCGATTTGTTTTGAATTTTGATCCTTCAATTGAAAGCATTTTCTTGTGTCTCAATGCAGTGATCTTGGGTTTTGTTTGTTTTGCCTCTCTTTTAGGTGCTTTATAATGCAATCTGTAGTGTATTCCTAATGATAGTGTTGCTTCTGGCAGGTAATTGATCTTCTTCTGTTCAAGGGAATGGAAGAGCTGACTGACATTGTGGATCACGCTAAGCAGCGTCACCACATCATCGGTCAATACGTTGTGGGTGAAGGGCTCGTGCAGAATACCGGAAGCAAGGATCAAGGAAAGTCTGATTTTCTCAAGAATTTCTACACCAGCAATTACTTTTGAACTGGTGATGTTGTTTCCTTTTCGAGTTTCACGCAAGTCTTTCCAGTATTGTATTTCATGACTTGAACAAGTCTTCCTCTCGAAAATAATTAGACCTTTTTCATTTGTATGAGTTTGGTCAAACCTCTCTAAGTTTTTATCAGTGGCAGTGTTTGCTGTGCAGATATTACTATGATTTTAATATATATAATCTTCCTCTTCTCAACTCTCAATATTAATTGAATTGGTCTCTTTGATTTATATTAAACAATCCAAGTTCCTGAAAGTATCCCATCTTCTATCATGTTGGTTACTAAGACCTTACACTGATGATCTTTTCGCTCTCAAATATCCAAAGACTAAACATTCACTCTCTAGAAACTACACAACCTGATCGGCTACAGATTACAACACACAACACAATCTAAGTCTTTGGGGTATCTCATAAATCCATTTTCAAGATCTGCAGTCTTCTTTCCCAAAATATTGTTTTTGGTAAGAATCTGAGAAGGCCTTGCTTTGTGATCTCTTGGAAGGAGAACGAACTCCTACTGATTTGAGCTATAAGATTATGTATAGAGCTGGGCAAAGCAATGTTCTTGTGTTTCACTCTCTTGGCCGGGCAAGCCACAAGGAACTAAGAGCACGTAGCCGAGATGAATAATCATGTATGGCAAGAAAAGCGCGAGCTGACTGACGCGTTGTTAACACTCTAATCATCTGTTGCAGTGTTTGCAGCCTCAAGTTATCAGCCTGCCACCAAGAACTCCATTATAGTCACATTACCTATGTATAAGATATATCTCTTTCACATTTCAAATGTACCTGGCGGATGAATCCTTCGAGGGTGCCTAACTGTCCCATTGCCATAGCCATCTGACCCATGTAGCTAGCCACATTATCAGATGAACTGGAACCAAGAGTTCCACTAGATAAAGTATCAGCTAAAGATTGCTGTAAACTCTCCATCCCTTGAGATAACGCATCTTCAGCTTGTTGGGACGTTTGTTGCAAGCTATTTATGCCCATCACCTGTCTTTCTGTCATTGGCTCCAGCTGATTCGCAATAAGCTGCCATAAAAAGTTTTGACCCATTATATAGAGTTGGTTTGTTCACCAAGAAAAAGTCTAAGAAACTTGTAAACGAGCTCACCTTGAGAAGTTCAGATGAACGGAACCCACCAAGCCACAAGAAACATCTCTCAGCTGGTGTTTTCCACATTCCAGATAGTAAGTGGAAGACATCATTTTTAGCTGCATTGCTTTTAATCCTGAAAAGCTCCTCATAGTGAGACATCACTCCATCTACAACTATTCGGAGCTCAGCATCACCTGCATGAGCATTCAGAGCAGATCTCAGCTCGTTCATTAGCTTGGTCTTTTCTTCAAGCCATCGTGAATGTTCGGCGTCAAATGCCAAAGCCCCTGCAAATAGAAAAGTGTGTACAAGATCAAGGAAAAAAACATGACATTTACACCTTGCAGACCTAAGCCTACACCAGTGCTAACTAGAGTAGAGTCTTGAACCGTTAACTCTAAATAAGCCTTAGCATATTGCCATCAGATGACTTATGCAATCACCAATTCATCAATCAAATCAAGCCACTAGCGAATGAGGTATATGCAAATTCTCTTTCTTATAAATAACCAAAAGGATCAATCTGAAAACTAACGGAGAAGGAAAAGTACATACCATTTCCACCAGTAGAATGGGTTTGGTCTCCTGAGCTTGAGATGAAAACGCCCTACAAGTTGTTCAATTTTCCTTTTTAATCAGTTACACATGCAGTAGTTACAAATACACAGTCATAACAAAGAATTACATAAGAACCAGAAAATATTTCTATTTATTCCTTCATCATCCGATGAATAAACCAGAAAAACCGAAGGACTGATTCGAGAGATCTACCATCCAAGAGACTACTAATTGGTTAACTGACTGAAGTGACTCTAGGCCTTGGCTGAAGTGTGAAGTATCTTCCTCATGAAAATTTACTCATCAGAATCAAACCAAATAAGAAAGAAAATTTAAACCTGTTGCCTTGCTCTCTGCAGCTCCTGCTCAAGCTGAGTCAGCTTCAATCGACTGTTCTCCAGCTGTTGAACATACGCCTATGTAGGAAACAATAACATGCTCAAGGTAATGGCAAGTAGGTATTCTTTTGGAGATGTTACAAGGAAGTATTAGGTAAATATAAGAAAATTCAACAAAAGCAAAAGCAAGATATATACCTTCTTCCTCAGCCTGCTTTTCCTTGCTGCCTCTCGATTTTGAGCAAGCCTACGAACGGTCTATGGATCAAAACAAAAAAAAGGAAACAAAACAGATTATGCATATGCAAAACATAAAACATATACTTGTTGATCCATAGAGATGAAAATGATCACCTTCTGATCCAACTTATCCTTTGATCGACCACTGGAGTCAGAAGCAGCAGCAAGCATCCCTTGCCCTCTCTCAGACTGCATGTATTTAACATCAGGAATTAGTCCTGTGGATTTGGCTCTACCAAGGGAACCTGGGTCAAGCCCCCCACGAGTGACATTTAGAGAAAATGAAATAATAAAAGAGCCAGATTACAGAGCTAACCCCCATATCTCTAGGATCTGTGTCGCCATCAGTTGAGGCATCAGTCCTTGAACTGGTATCAGCCATATTAACTTCGGTGCTAATAACTTGATGCAGAGACTATTCACTTGTGCTCCCTTTTGCAGTACCGAGATTTGCCTCTGGTGCAGAGTTTAACACTAGAGGGAGAAAAGACTGAAAAGATGCAGGATAAGAAAATTAAATGATAGCAGAGAAAGAAAACATGATTAAAGAAGAGAGATAGCAAGTTACCAAAACAACCAATGTGAGTGGATAAGGAATAACCAGTGCACCATTAACTGAGCTGAATGATAAAAAAAACGTTCAAGTACTACTTTCACTTTTGCTACATATACAGACTAAGGGTATATAGAGATTCTCTGCTTCATCCAAATTAAAAAAAAAAGAATGCAAAATAGTCCTCTTATTATTGAACACAAAGAAGTTTTCTCCGACGAAAACTTAGCTGACTGTCCCAATATAAAATAAAATAGGAAGCATTTATTTGTGCCGGAGTGAAAATGGAAGACCCATCAAATGAGAAGCTACGTTTTATCAAAACTTAGCTGACTGTCCCAATATAACACACAGACAGTTGACCAAGAAGTAAAGATAACTGAGAGGAATCTTAAAGCAGGATCAAAGCTTGCCATCTACAAGAAACTCTTTTGCAACAGCAAAGAACAATGTCATATAATCCTTCCTACCCCTAAAACCAGCTAGATATCAAAGACGAAGCTGAAATCAAGAGTGCATGCCAAAGCTAAACTGAATGTGAAAGATTAATAACCATAAATGAAAATACCATAAAAAAAAATACACATGTGCTTATAAAAGACTGCTAGGTGGATCTAGTGATGACTTAACCACGCAATAAAAACACAAGCGCATTAACCTAAAGTGAAAGCCGTTACCAAAGCAACTCATTAAAGCACAAAGCAAACCCTAGAATTTTCTATCCAACCAAACAAATAGTAAAACCTTACAGATTAAGGACGCACGTTCAGACAATATAATTCGAAATTGGATTCGGAACAAAGACAACAGTTTATGTACTAACATCAACTGAAAACCAAACCGAGGATTTTGAATCTAGCACACAAGAGAACTAAGCTTGAAACTTTTAGAGCTTCAGAAAGTCAACTACGTCTTAGTTTCCAAGGCACAACACACAAAAGTGAAAAAGTAACAAAGTAAGCTTTTCAATTGACTAAAAAGTAAAACAAAGAACATCTGAAACTCAAAGAGTTTCGAGTTTTAAGGAAGAAGCTGACCTGAAAAGGGAAATCTTCTGACCGGTTAAAAGGTTGTCTGAAATCGGATTTGAAGGAAGTGAGCAGAGACACGATCCGTTGTTGTTTCAATTTCCGAGACGTCGTTTTGACTACAAACCCACCACCATCCCCCAAAAGAACATCGATCAAATTTAACAGAAATTTCAAATTAAACCCCCATATTTATTCTTATCATCTCTACCGAACTATATGTTTGTAAATTACAAAACTACCCAAATGATTGAAAATATAATTTGTCTTTGATCGGTTTGCTCCCGGGCCATTAATTTTGTGTTCTGGAACACCAAAAAATAATCATTACAAAATATAATTAGTTTAATTAATTACAGATTTTCATTGTATTTTTAATTAATTCTAGTCACTTCTTTTATTAGTTTTTTTCTAAATAATTACTTAATTTATTATATTTGTTAATGATCACTTCATTTATTGTCTTATCTAAATATGAAATATGTATAAATTCAGTTTTGATGTATAAGCTTTTTAAAATATTCAAAAGCTTATGTAGTCGAAACATGATCGGATATTTGTACCAAACAAATTATATTAACCGTTTCTATTTGGGTATTTTAAATCCCAACTAAAAATAACCAAATAACTAAAAATAATCATATTACCTCTAATTTGATTCGGATTTAGTTCTAATTTATAAGATTTTAAAATATTCAATCGATTATATGATGACAAATACAAAATATATAACTTTAATTATGAAAATAAAATATTAATTTATAAAAATGTAAAATTTAACATTTCTAGTTAATGTGAAATACAAATTATATTCTTAACGCAAATGCATTAGTTAATTAAAACGTTTCTAATAAAAGAATTGAGCCAAAGACAGCCTAGAGATCAAAACCACATACAACAAGTTTCACTAACGACTCTGAGCGAAGAAAAAACAAAAAAAAAACAAGTTTCACTAACGAAATGTTAGATTCGTGGCCCTTGTCTTTTAAAAAAAAAAAAAATGTGGCTTAATTCGAATGCTTCATGTGCTTTAAACGAGGAACATGCACTTAGTCGAGATGAATAATCATGTGCAACTTCAAAGCACTCTAAACACGACTATGTCACTTCTACGTGGTTCTAAACGTCCCCAGGGATTTATTTATTCGATCGTTTAATAAACGAATGCAAATATGATTACAAAGAGTAGGTAGTCCAGCCGCGTCTCCCTCTGCTGTCCTTTTATTTATATTAGACATGATTGGGTACTCGAGCAGCATCTCCATTTATGTGAAACTATTATAAATGTGTTTCATCGTACATGTGGTTTAGCTCAAAAAGTCAAAGAAAACAATGGGGAACAAGTTGGTGTTGCTGCTGCTACTGCTTCTTTCTCTTATGCATGCTTAGGTCAGGAGAATCAATTTTCAGATATCTTCCTGGTTTCCAAGGCCCTTTTCCTTTTGAGCTTGAAACTGGGTTCTGTTCTTCTTCATCACCTCATCTCCATAGTAGTCTTATAAAATAATGAATGAGTCTATGTTCTGATTTTTTGGACGTATGCCATTCAGGTACATTGGTGTTGGTGAGGCGGAGGAAGAACAGTTGTTCTACTACTTCATTAAATCTGAGAGAAACCCAGCAGAAGACCCTCTTCTTATCTGGTTAACCGGAGGTCCTGGCTGCTCTTCTCTCTCTCTGGCTTTCTTCTTGAAAATGGTAATATATAAAATATACTCTCCAAAAAAATCTTGATGACTTGGTTTTTTATGAAAAAATGCAGGGCCCCTGGCTTTCAAGACTGAGTCTGACAATGAAGATATCCCATCATTGGTCTCTGCTACATATTCTTGGACTAAGGTTAACACACTTTACATTCATATGACAGAAATTCGACTTTAGATAGAATAGTGGTGTTTCCTCATCTTCTTGCAGTCGCTAAGGAGAAGCTGCTGAGGAAATTATGCTGAAGTGGATCCTCTCAACTCAGAATGCATGAATCTTGTTGAAGAGTTTGAGAAGGTATATTTCAGGCTGTGTTTATATATTAGAATGTTAAAGAATATAAAGGAGGATCACTAACTTTCATGCTTTATGTTTATATACAGTGTGTTGATGATTTAGATATGGCATATATTTTAGGACCAATGAACCTAGACCCGATTGATCCCAGTGACAGCAGCCCGCCTGCGCATCGCATGACTGTGCAGTCTACCCGCTGGGCCAATGAGGAGAGTGTGCGCAGAGCCCTTCATGTGGAGAAGGTAAATATGCATGCTTAAAAAAAAATTTTTTATGGGGCAACGATTAAAAAGTGTTATATAATATAAGATGGTTTGGTAATAATAGAAAGGTTCTTTGACTGATGGTAATAAAACCCTGAGAATTTGCAGGGGAGTATAGAAAAATGGTCATGATGTGATGGGGAAATACCTTACAGGTCTGACGTTGACAACAGTATACCATACCATAAGAACAACAGCATCGAAGGATATAGATCTCTCATTTTCAGGTCATCCAGAACTAACTCATCTTTATTCATGTGTTAAGGCTTTCTAAGCGTTTTGATCAACTTTTTTTTTTTTAAATTTTGGCATCACGTTTCTGATGAAACAGTGGTGATCACGACATGCTTGTCCTTTTCCTTGCAACTCAAGCCTGGATAAGATCACTCAACTATTCCATTGTCGAGGACTAGAGGCCATGGATGGTTCACAATCAAGTCGCTGGGCATTAGGATTCTTTTTGTCATTTTCATCACATAAACGCATGTTAAACAATTTTGTTTTTCGTTTCAGATACACAAGGACTTATGCCAATAAGATGACATTTGCCATTGTGAAAGTAAGCCTACATTTTTCTTATTGCATAAATGGAAAAATTATATACTTGAGAGAGTTTCACAGTGTTTGTGGGTTTGGTTTTACAGGGTGGCGGGCACACGGTAGTGTATAAACAAGAGGAGTACTCCGTTATGTTCAAGAGATGGGTTAGTGGCCAACCTCTTTAACAGCCTATCAGCGATTTGATAACAAAAACTGCAAAATCTTGATATGGTGATGTCTACATAATTTATCTTTGTAACTGAGGCCAAGTTATGGGGAAATTTGTAGGGTGGACACTTCAGTTATTTTATCGGTTCAGTTTGGTTAATTTGGTTCTAAAATTTTTCGAACTAAAGTAAACCATAATTGTATTGGTTTGGTTCGGTATGTACTCGATTCAGTTTATATTCGGTTTGGTTTGTGTTTCAGTTCTGTTTCATCCGGTTCTTTTAGTTTTATTCGTTTAAGAGAAATCATGTTTTAAAACATAAATGCATAGTCATGAAATCATCATGTTAATAATTAGGAAAAAAAACTATGAAACTAAATTCAATATAAAACTGAATAAGAACACTTGCTTTGTTGTAGTTCAACAACTCGGAAAGGGATTCCAGAAGAGCTAGTTTATTTTAATAGCGATTATAGTCAATTTAAGGAAATAGTTTTAAGTTAATCTTATATATTAAAACAGAAGTCATAACTTAACTTCATGTGTGATTTTTTTAAAAATGGACTATTACTAGAAAGTCATGTTACATTAACTCTCTAATAATCTTATCATTATTATATCTTATGAAAAATCATATTTATAATAACAAAGATACGCTTAACAATTTGGTTAAGGTAGATTACCCTCACACCTTCCAACTTAGTCACGCAAAATATGTCAATAGATATAAGTTTAGGAATCTAATATTTATTTATAAGGAAATACGTCAATAATAGTTAAATGCATCCACAATATATTAACAAAAATCACAGATTCGCAATATGGAATATTTATACACCCTAACAAAATTTACACGCTATATATACTAGATAAATTTATTTCGATGTAAATTTTCTAAATTATATTGTTTTAAAAAAAAAATTTAATAAAATTCTTTATAATATTAATTTATGAAGCTATAAGTTTAGTTTTTATCGAAAATTTCTTCGAAGTTTATATTATCTTTGCAAATTAAAGTATACAAATATTTAATCAAGCTCTATTTGTATTACTTTATTTAAAATTAAATAATAATCTAACAAAAAATAAAATATAGAAGAAGAAACAAATACATGTTTGAAAAACATGTATAATATAGAAAATTTGAAACAAACTATTTGATTAAAACATGTATTATATAATATTATTATGTTTGAAAAACATTTACTATACACATCGTAAATATGTGATTACTATAATATATACCAATTTACAAATGAAAACAAAATGTTTATATAATTAACTATAAACGAAAACAAACATCCGCGCGGTTGCGCGGGTCAAAATCTAGTTTTAATTAAAAAAATCAGAAAGGAACCATCAACCTATGTCTAATAGTCTTTTAAAACTTGTAGGCGAAACAAATGTTTTATCCGGTTGTGTTCAAAACCGACCTAGCGAATCAAATAGAAGAAAAAATGTCACACTTACGTACGTACATCTACACAATTTTACAAATATTATGATTATAGAGAACTTGTCTAGTTCCATGTCTTGAACATTTTGAAGGCAGTTTCTTGTATGATTGGGCCAAACACTCAATGATGATTATCTTGGGTTAATTTCAACTTATTTATTTTACATGACGTCCATAACGTTCAAGCTGCTTAACAAAATCAAGCTGCATGCATTTTCGCATGGGGCTATAAGAGCACCATTAATGATAAAACTCCTCATGGATTGTTCAAATTTTTTTTTTTTAAAGAAAAAGTAACTAATTGTGGGTTACCACGTATTAGTGGGTCCCACAAACAATACAAACAACATAACAAAATCGCTACTTATTTGCAACTGCTGGCAACAGTTGTTATATTTTTTGTGAGGCCCATGGGTTTAACACCCCTCTAAGCAGTCCCGTTAAAGGTGCTCTAAAAACCTAATCAAGAACTCCATCGATAATCAGCTAATCACTCTCTATTGTTACTGTCGTTTGATCGAGTCATATGTTGTTTCTAACGAGTTTTAATGATTGCTTTGTAACTAAAAATAGAAAATCAGTGTATGGTCCTCCCTTATCTCTAGGATTCGATTGCCACCACCAATATGTTCAGACGTTACTAAACTAGTTTTTGCTATTTAAAGACCTAAAACATCTTTCAAATTATTACTTTTATCTCACGAGCTACTAAATGATTCAGATAATGAAGATCCCTACATTAATGTGCATCGCAGCATTCGTCATACTCTTGACATCATTTCCAGCTCCTATCAAGAGTAAACCAATGACTCCCGCTGAAAGAACTTCCTATAGACTATGGTGCAATGTACATCTTGACTACTGCCTGGACCGTGTTTCTAAAAATAAAAACAAGGAAGACGACTGTTGTAAAATTCATTTTAATAAACCGCCACCACCAACAACCAGTCCATCATGTGTCTGTGAGTATATGAAAGTTCCTGCCAAAAGGACGATTTATGGCAATCTTATGAAAGCTTGTGGACGAGAGGGTCTCACCCCATTTAATTACAAATGCAATCAACGAAAATAGTCAACTAACCAGACAAGGTTAGACATAACACTTTTTAGACCCTACAGTTAATGTTTTTTTACAAAAAAAAAATATAAATGTTATTAGAAAACTAAATATTTAAATAGTTTTTTCTTCTTAAAAAGCTATTTTATTAATTTTATTTGATTTTTCTTAAAATAAATTAAAATGTTGGAATGAGCCTCAGAAAGATCACACTAAGGGTATCTTTATCCGGGTAGCTTTGGAGGGGGTTGCTTAAGAAAATTAGTTTAATAATAGGTGGGCTCTACTTATAGTAAAGCAACCAGCCCTTCTTTTGCTTATTTAAGCGTCGGATTTTTGGGTTGCTTGGTCTACAAGACACGTGGCGACCCGCAATTGATTATTTTATTTGTTTTTTTTAAATCCAAAAAAAAAAAAATAATAAGTACCCCTATTGGGGTGCGGATAAAGAAGCTCTAACCACTCCTATACTAAGACGACATTGCAACCGAGACGGGATAGTTGCACTGATTGGCTCATTTACTAAGCCGGCATTGCAACCAGACCGCCAAAGATCGTTTAACCAAACTGGAGATACTTGTTTTGTTTCTATATAAAACTGAATAAGAGCACTTGGTTTGTTTTGTTTTTTTTTGTAGTTTCTCCGATTTTAAGTTAATAAAAACTGAAAATAAATTACAAAGTTTTGTTTCTATGAATTATTACAATTTCCTATCACCCTTAAGTTAATAAAATAGAGTGGTTATAGCCAAACTTATAAACCAAAACAAATA